GTGGGGCGAGGCGAGGCGTGGCGGAGCGCCCACGCGGGGACAGGGGTGACGTCACCAGAGACCCCGACCTCAGCGACGGCGGCGCGTCGCGCATCCCATAGCACGGCGCGGCGGCATAGGTATAGGAACGGCGGGCAGCCCGTCCGCGACCCACGGGCGGCGCGTAAAAGTGGGGGCTAGGAGGAACAACTTCAGGTGCGACGATGGGAAACTTGGGCGCGTGCGCGTAGCGCCCCTGTTGTACAGTATAAACCGGACTTGCCTTTCCCCACAAAACCCACGATTTATGTTCGACTCTGTTTGACAAGTTTGTGTGAATTAATATATTCTGCGCATGCACGCCGACCAGTTGTTATATAATGAATTCGAGTGCAGGACGTTTTTACTTAAAAATTTCCATACTGGGCCTCGTAATATTTTTTTCGACCTATTGTCGCTCCGTGTGGCCTCAAATAATGGCCTGGAACGAGTAGGCAAGCTGCACACACGGCTGAACGTGGTCCAGTACCCAACCCTCCCTAAAGAAAATTATTGTAAAAATTATATCACGGGTCTTATGAGACACCCTGTACCGGATATGGCGCCTTACGGGCAGACCAGCTAGGCAAACCCGCCCGCACCTGTGTCTTATGAAACACTCGGTATACTATCCACCAGAAGTCAAAGGTCGGCATATTAACAGCCAAATTGCAGGCAGAGGCGATGCGTCTTGGTACGATGCACGCCTCCTACTGGCGGTCGTGGCATGTCCCGCGCCCCGCCCCGCCACGCCCCGCCACGCCCCGCCACGCCCCGCCACGCCCCATTGGGGCCCAGCCCGGGCGCGGCGGCCGGGTCCAACACACAGCTGCGCCCTGACCCTGGCGGGCCCATAGAAGGCGGGTAGGGTAGGGTCTCCCCCCCCCTCCTCCTCCTCCTCCCCGTGATCCTCCTCGCGAGCGCGCGCACGTGGAAATACGCCGGGCCGGCCGAGAGTGGGCAGAGGAGCCGCGGAGAAACATCGAGGCGCACGCGATGCTGGCCGAGATGCTGGCGATGCCACGGCGGCAGTAATGACGATCGACAAACTCTCTCGCCACACTGAATACATCAGGCGAGGAGGGATGGAGGAGGACACATCAGGTGACGTCACGCCAACAGGTATGAAGCGTCGAGCACAGGAGAGACAGACGTCCAGGTATATGACGGTCAGTCCCGCCCCGCCGCTCGACAGGGAAAAACGGCAAGTGTCATGAGCAGTGACGGAGCAAGCAAGGCGAGAACGCGAGAGAACGAGGTATTTACGCGTGGGGGGTGCGAGGAGGCCAGGTCGAGGATCTCGTCCCTCACTCAATCGATGATGTCCCTCGGGTGCTTGACCCGCGCGCGCCACCCCGGACCCGGGCCGCGGGGCGGGCGGCAGTGGGCGCGCGCCGGGGGAAATGCCCTCCGGTCCACAAGGCCCCGCCGCTGCCGCCGCCGCCGCTCCTCCCGGCAGCGCGGCGCGGCCCACGCGACGCGCGGTGGACCTGGGGAGCGCTAAAGTGACGGATTGGTACATCGTAAACATTCGGAACTTGTTGTTGGCGCTTTAGGGGCTCGACCGTTGCCCTCGGCATGACGGCTGTGTGGGCGGCGCGGAGGGTGACGCACAAGCGCGTTTACTGCTTTGTTCCATTCTGTAGAGACTCGCAAACCCTCATCCCGTTTATTTTTGAGGACCATTTTTCCTTCGTCCGTCTCCTCCATATTCTGCACCGTTTCGCCTCCGATTCCGTTATCACGTAGGGGCGTGAGCTGCAGGCGGGCGCGGCGCGGCGGGGAAGTACCACGCGCCGACCCTCGCATTTAGCCGCGGCCAAAGGCCAGGCACGCGTGTAATGATAAATTGATTGTGCGCCGCGGCAAGGCATGGCATGGGTCGGCTTACTAGAGTAGTTTAAGGAGTGAAAGTCAACAGCGAGCAAAGAATATTTCAAAATTGTGTTATTTTTAAGTCCTGCTTGCAAATGTTACAGACCCTTTTATCAAAACTTAATTTTTAAAAAAAATAAGAAAGGAAAAAAAAGGGACGTCCTCTCCCTCTCCCACATGACTCAAATCGTTTTAAAGCTCGAGGTGCACACATGACTCTGAGGGGCACAAGAGCTTGAAGATCTCAATCGGGCGCAGATAACCACCTGCGGCCTGGGAATGGGTCGTGACCGAGCGGCGCGCGGCAGATCACCAACACCTCTCCGCTTCGCTCCAGGACGCCCGTTCCAGAACGGCTCCAAGGGGACGACTTCGGGGTTTGTATCGTGGTGAGCGATAAGAATATCAAATCACTACAGCTAGCGCTAGGACGATTTGAAAAAAAATGCAGTTTTCTTTTTCCTTTCTCTTTTTTAGCACTTCCTTTGGTATGGTCGTTGAAAACTTTTTGAAACAACAAAGGTCCAAAAGGTCCAATAGATGTGGGAGGGGCATTCCATAGGAAAGGAAGTAAACTGGCACGACGGTACAAGGAGCCCCGCCCCCTCCCAGCCTCTCCCCCCTGCAGCAAATATTCGCGTGGAGGCTGGGTCGTCCAAGTATGGACTGGCCGCGCTACCCAACTCCCCCTGCCCCTCCCCTCCCCTCCCCGGCCAAGGCCCTCTCTGCCTGGGCTTCTCGGGCCCATGGGCGACATCGACCTCTTTTGTTTCATTATCCGCTGGACACAAAGCAGAGTACCCCGGCTCGCAGCCAGCAGTCGGCCGGGAAACGACCCTCGCGAGTAACAGCTGAAAGCGCCCCTCTCGAAATTTGATGAAGTAGTAATTTACGATCCGACAACAACAGCGCGTTGTGCTGCTTGCAGCGTAAAGGTTTCCCGCCCGGCGGCGAGGTCAAATGTGTGTTTTATGGAAGGGTCTTGCGTTGCCGCGATCGTAGAGTAGTTTGATTCATTGTGCCCATTGGCGGGGCGCGCGGTGGAGGTGCTGCGCGGCTGCGCGGGGGCGAGCGGCACCCCGTGAGCAGCGTCACGGTGCTTACTAATTGAAAAGCGCGGCCCGCTGCACTATTGCCGCAGAATGCCGCTGCTCCAGTGCAGAGGCCGGCCCGCCACAGCAAAGGGACTCGACTTGTTAGCCGGACCTTGGCGAGGGCCCCTCCTCCCCTCCTGCTGCTGCACCTCGCGCCCCGCAGCCCGCTCGCGGGTCATCAGGCGTCAATCGGGCCGAATCAAGCTGGGTGGTGCGGGGCGGAGCGGGCGGGGTACAGGCGCGATCAAAAGAATGGGGGCTGCAGGTCGCGCACAAAGGCGCAAGAAGGAAGCGAGCGTGTTGCAACAACGAGCCTGCCCGCCCAGCCGCAGAGCCCTGCTCTCGCACACGCGTTACAGGTTCTCGAGGAGCTTAAGGTTCTCGAGGGTCACCGCCTCGCGAGGAGGGAGGTCCGCACATAACATCTCCGTCGGGGTCGCCGGCCGGTGTGCTCTTCGCCCGGTCCTCGTCGTCGACGTCATCTCTCTCCCTCTTGGCCCGTTTCTTTTATCACCACTCTACTCTGGCGCGATAAGCGATAAGTTTACCGACCCCATATCCTTTACTTCCTGCTTTAGGCCCCGATATTGCGCTGTGTGTGTGCTTGAGTGTACGCGCGCAGTGAGGAAGCGACCGGCTCGCCGGGCGGCCGGCTCACCCCGTGACCCAGTCCAGTGGCGCGTGCAGCAGGAGGCCGCAGGAGGCACCCCTGCAACCCTTTCACTCTCCGTTGCACACTACCGTGGTGGGGCGTGTGGAGACGAGGGCCACAGACGGCTTAAGGGTGAGGCCGACACTCGCGCCCCAAATCCCACTTTTCCTCGGTTGGCAGCAAGTGTAACGAGTGCGCGCCACGCCCCGCCACGCCCCGCCACGCCCTGCCCCGCCCCGCCCGCGGGCGCGTGTGAAACATGCGCACGAACACGTCGCCCCGCCACGCCCGCGGCCGTGCCATATCGCGTACCGCGCACGCGCCGCGGAATGCCGCGGAAAATGGCGGGAAAACACCCCGTTCGGTTTGAAACACGAGCGGGGCTGCTCGGCCTTGGTGTGTAATGCAGTGTGAATCGAATGCCCGCCCGCGGCCAGACCGGCCGCAGCAGTCACGACACCCGGAGCGCCTCGCCCAGCGCCTCGGCGAGACGAGCGGACGGCCGTCCGGGACAAAAATATGCGGCTAAATTCCGAGACCATTCTGCTGCTCATAGAGCACCGCCGCCGGAGCCACCTGAGCGGGGCCGCTCAAGACCCCCGTGTCGTGGGAATGTCTGCCGGCGGCTGGCGGCCCCGGCGCAGCGCGCAATGTTTGAACAAGACGCGCCGGCGAGCCTCAACTTATGCAACATTTGTGCGGCGGGCGCGGCGGCGCGGAGAGAGTGCGGCCTTGAACCTACTGTACGACCATCACCCTGCATTCCAGGCGGCGGAGGGATGCAGCACCGGCGTGGGGGTGATGGCGTCGTCGGGATCATCACCATAGGAAGCGCCCTCCCTAACGATGATCCCTCTGACAAGGACGCGCACAGCCAGAGCAGCGCGGCCGCCGCCGGGATGCATGTGGGCCAATGCCACGCATCCTGACGTAACGACACGGAGGGATCACCTCGGGGGATCACCCAACCTGTCGGGCAGGGTCAGCGGGCCGCGGGACGGGAGGGCACCGCAGGGCGCCGCAGGGCGCCGCAGGGCGCCGCAGCAGGGCTGACGGGCCGAACCTGCAGGTGAGTGAAAGCGATGGGAGATAAAAAAAAATAAAAAAATAAAGGTGTCCGACACACGAGTACTACTTCGAACCCCATGCGGCCATGGGTGGCCTCGTGTAAACGTCCAACGTGCGTCGTTGCACGGCCTGAGTCAACACAGCCAACAGCCTCTTCTTCGTGTTGCGTATTTTGTTTTGATAGATTGAGAAGAGGAAACAGTTGACCGAGTATTTTAATTACAGCCACGATTAAATGCTACACCCGGGATGAAAAATTGCTATTCGCGCGCTTTGCCATCGCGTGAGCGACCTGAGGACGCCGGAAAGGTTTAATTGCAGTGTTTCAATAATTTGGCCGGGTAAGATGGATGGTCGGGCGAGATGGCACCCACCAGGATTACTATAGACACGTATCCTCACATTTCACGGGCAGGGTTGCGGGGAGCCCAAGGTGACCATATGGTCGGTGCCCTGAGAGCCGCAAGGTGAAGTGCGCACCACTCCGAGCCACGCCGCGCCACGCCGCCAAGGCGACCGCTCGGCCCGGGACGCTCGGGCAGCTTCCGATCTCCACGCCATCCCGCCAGCCCCTGCACCAAACGGCAAGACGGAAGGGGCGACGGCCGAGGTGCGAACCCCACCCACTCTCCAAATGCTTCAGTAGAACAGTTCCACTGTTACAAGAGTACAAGGGTAAAAAAAAAGAATCAGCTAAATTAGCTCCTGCATTCGTTTCTATGGCCTTAGATTGGAATGTTAGCTCTCCTAGCAAATTCTTAGCTAAAAGAGCTGAAAAATTAGCCATGACAGTTGTCTACAAAATAGAGCAACTAGCTGTGAAAGCTAATATGTTAGCTCTCATCGCTAAAAATTAGCTAGGAGAGCTAACATTCTATAATCTAAGGCCATATTAGCAAATGCATTAGCTAATTTGGCTTATTCTTTTTTTCGTGTAGAAAAAAAAGTGTCTTACTGATGCAAGTGAAGAAGGCGCTTGTTCCACTCTTGAACAATATGAATCGGTCGCCCTGACGAGACGTGCCCGCACGTATCCTGAGGTGTCCAGGACGCATTCGTACGAATCCTGAGGTTTCCAGGGCGTGATCAGACGTATCCAAGAATCGTCGGGATGTATCCCAACGTATCCCAGATGCGTCTGGATGTATCCTGACATATCCAAGATACAAACGGATGTTTCAAGACTTATACAGGACGCGTCCTGACGTACCCTGGATATGTCGGAATACATCTAGACGCTTCCTTGATATGTCTGGATTAGATTTAAGACGAAAGTTTTTGTGACGAAGTTACCGTGACTCACCGGAGCACCGAGTCATGCGGGATGACAATAGTCAGTCGGTGTGTCACGCAGCGGTTACTATCACTGTATTTTTAGACACCTTGTCTTATCGGCACCACACGTCACCTTCACGCTGATCGCCAGTCCACGTCACATATTGTATATAATGCACGCCAAAGATCTTATCGGTAGGACGAGTGTTATCACCAGCTGAGCGCGTCGCTTGATTTGGCCCAGTCAGCTGTAGGCTACCGAAGGCCCCAGGCGTGTGTGAGTCCGTGCAGCTACGCCCACCCAGTGTCGCCACCATGCCCACCACCATCGAGATCAGCTTCGACGAACCACTGGCCACGTACTTTCCGGGGGAGACGGTGTCTGGGCGGGTCCACGTCCACGTGGACAAACCAAAGAGGATCAGAGGTGAGTCTGGCGCCGGCACCGTGAAGTGACGTGCGAGTTGCGGCTTCGCTCAACTCAATCCTGTGCGCCCCGCAGCCGTCAGCATCAAGTTCAGCGGCGACGCCAGCGTGTGGTGGTCGGAGGATCGCACTAGCTGCCGCACCGGCGAGAACAGTCGCAGAGACGAGGACTGGATTTACAAGGCAAAGGAGAAGTACTTCAGGCACACGCTCTACTTCGTCGGGGGAGAGTCCGGCATGGTGACGCTCGACGCCGGGGATCACACGTACCCCTTCCAGTACCTCCTGCCGCAAACGCTGCCCAACTCGTTCGAGGGCAAGCACGGCTACGTCCGGTACACGGCCAAGGCTACCATCAGCCGATGGTGGTCCGTGAAGACCCGAGTCGCCTTCACGGTGAAGTCGGTCGTGGACCTCAGCATGATTCCCCAGGCCGAGGTTAGTCGCTTATACCACGCACAGCCAGTGTCTCTGATACTCTATAAAGGACATGAATATATGATGCGCTTCTTCTATAGGAGCCAGTGGAACGTGTCCAGAGCAAAGACTTTACGCGTCATTGGGGCGAATCACCAGGAGGCCCTCTAACTATGGGCGTCAGAATTCCGAGAGGAGGCTACTTCCCCGGGCAGACCATCCCGTTGCTGATCAAGGTCGACAACGCGAGCAGCATTGACGTGCTCAACGTACGCGGTGCTCTGATCCAGGTGAAACTCGCCTATGAAACTAACGAAAAGTGCCCAAATTCAAATCGAAGGCGAGACACTTATCGCTGTGGTCCGAAAGCAGGTTGTCACGTGGCACGCCGACGAGGACAACAATACGCTGGAGTCAGTAGAGAGGGTGGTGGACCTGGTGTTCGACTGCCCGGTTCCAGCCAACAAGTGCAAGGCCTTCTGCCAGGAAATCACCGTGCCACCCGTACTCCCGTCTCACCTGGACAATTGCAGTATCATAGACTTGGAGTACTTCTTGGCGGTAAGGCTCTATGTTTCAATGCCACTAACCGAATACGGATGAATCGTGGTTAAGGCTGACGAGTGCGATGACGCGATCGGATGATCAAATGAACAAATGAGCACCCGCTAATTTTTTGCATGACTATGAAGACAGCAAATATGAAAATATAAAACCCGTCGTCCACCTAACCAACTCTTTCTCTTAATTAACCACTCTCTAGGTTACGGCTCGGGTCAGTGGTGCCCACTTCAATCTAGAAATCAAGGCCCCCATCCTGATCGGCACTGCTCCAGAGGCGGAGAAGAGCTTGGAAGAGAAGACCTTTGCAGAGAAGAGCCTGTCAGAAAAGAGCTTGCCAGATAAGAGCTTGCGGAGCTTGCCAGACAAGAGCTTGCCAGACAAGAGCTTGCCCGGGCCGGGTGACGTAGCGCACCCGAGAGGATCACTGGGCCTGCCCTCGCCTGATCTCCGTGAGTATCTAAGCAGTACTTCATCCCGTGCCTGCTTCAATTTAAAATTAGCGGAGGTCAGAAATGGCAGCCACCTCGTCCAGCTGAGCAATTGCTCTCTACCACTCACTTATACGACCCCCTACTATGGTGCAAAAATTTAAAGCGCCATGGCAATTTCTTACCCTTTCCATTCTTATTGTTCACTTGCTGTTCTTCTCCCTACTTTTGCAAGTGGCACTCTTTAATCAACCCAGAGAGGAGCTAGCAAGAAAATATTTTCAGAAAAAAAGAAATGTCTAAATTGTTTAAATTGCAGTGCCCCCGAGTTACGAAGAGAGCGTCTTGGGCCAGCACCAACGGTGACAACTAGTACACCAGTACACCATGGGGATCGAGAGTTTTACCCCACGTTACCCGGTATGGGACCTGCCTCTCAAGCCATAGACATGAGAAGAACTCGATAACAAGTTGAGTTGTTAGCGATGATGATCTCAATGAAGATTTTGTGATAAGTACCTGCACTTGTTCACACTGTTTTATTTTAATTTGTAAAAGTGTAAAATATAGTTTTTAATATAAAACCACTAGATCAGTCTTTCTAGCC